TCTGCTCTCTTCCTTCAGGACTCACGCCTTAGGGTTTAGGGTTTAGGGTTTAGGGTTTAGGGTTTGCAGTTTGGGGCTTCTTTCCCAGCTTGCCGCCGCTGAACAGCAGCAGCCGCGGTTTGCTGCTGCTGCTGCTGCTGCTGCTGCTGCTGCTGCTGCATGCTGCCTTTGGCTGCGCGTGCAGCAGAGTTGAATGCGTTGACAGAAGTACCATTTCTTTTCTCAAACCTTTCGTCCTAAACCCTAAACCCTAAACCCTAAACCCTCGATAAACAGCGGAAAAGCGCTGCAGCAGCAGCGCCCACTGCTCTCCTCCATGTCTCGATGGCTCTCTGCTGCTGCTGCTGCTACAAACTGCCTTTTTTCGCATTTTCTAAATAACTATTTATTTATGTATTTGTATACTTATTTATTTATTTATTTATTTATTTATTTATTTATTTATTTATTTATTTATTATTTGTTTTGTTTTTATTTATTTATTTTGTTGTTTTATTTCTTTTGCATTTTCAGATCTCCTGGGCAAAGGATTTCCCCACGAGAAGCCCTGGGAGTTGGAGTACAAATACAAGTCCAAAAATCCCGTAAGAAATAAATAAATAAATAAATAAATAAATAAATAAATAAATAAATAAAATAAATAAATAAATAAAATAAATAAATAAATAAAATAATTAATTGTTTAATTAATTATAATTAAAGTAATTAACTAATTAGTTAATTTAATTAATTGATTTGGAGTTATAAATGTTTTTTAAGGATGAACCAGATAAGCCAACTGCCAGAAAACCAATAAATAAATAAATAAATAAATAAATAAATAAATAAATAAATAAAACAAATAAAATAAATAAATAAATTAAATTAAGATAAATAAATGAGTGAAAGCGAATTAACAATTAAAATATCTTTTATTATCTCTTTTGGTTTCTGAGTTCATCTTTTTGCCTTTTTTTATTTTTTCAAAAATGAAATTAAAATGCCATTTTGTCTATTTTTGATTTTATTTAATTTTGAACTAATTCTTATTTTGAACTTTGCTTTTATTTTAAACTTCAAATCAATTTTATTTATTTATTTATTTATTTATTTATTTATTTATTTATTTATTTATTTATTTTTGGTTTATTATTTGATTTGTCTTTTATTTGAATTTATTATTTTCATCATCGCATTTGTCTTTATTTTTTGCAATTTATCATTTTTGTTTATTTCGCTATTTTTGCCCCCATTTGCCGTTCGATTTATTTAATTTAATTATTTATTATTCATCATTTATTATTTTATTAATTATTAGTTGCTTTGTTATTTATTATTTATTATTTGGATTTGTTTTAATTTATTTTTATTATTTGTTATTCATCTTTTGTCTTTTATTTTTGTGATTCAGTTCTCTGTCTGGACCCGTGTCTAACTATTCACTTATTTATTTTTATTTAGTTATTTAATTATTTATTTTATGATTATTTTGCAAATTAATTAAATTAATTGTTAAATGTTTTACGTCTAGGGCCCAGAGTTCAGAATTCAGGGTTTAAGGTTTCAGGCTGAGGGTTTAGGGTTTGGGTTCTAGGGTTTAGGGTTTGGGTTCTAGGGTTTAGGGTTTAGGGTTTAGGGTTTAGGGTTTAGGGTTTGCTGCAGCAAATAACGAACGTTGCGGGCGTGGGCAGCCACGGGGGTTTTGACGCTTCTTCCTCTTTGGTGTATTCCGCTGGAGACGCAAAGGCGGAAGTGAAAGTCTTTTCTGCAGGAAGATCTTACGTGGATTTGTCCTACAAGGTAATTAGTTGAATTAATTGCGAAAATTACCAATATAATCAAGGGTTTAGGGTTTAGGGTTTAGGGTTTAGGGTTTAGGGTTTAGGGTTTAGGGTTTGGGGGCGGCGCGGGCGGTCTGTGGGTGTTGAATTTCGGGATTTCTTTGGAATCTGCGGTTCATTTGGTTTAATTTTTTGAAATAAGAATAAATTTAAGGATTTTAAATTCAATAAATGTCGGATTCCTCTCGAAGTCCTTCGTTTGGTGCTGGATCGCCGGCAGTTCAACTTTTCGTTTTCCACTTGCGCTGCGCCGCCCGCAGATCCCGCAGCTTCCCAATTTGATCATTTCCAGCAAATACGAAAGAAAAGGCGAAAAGAACACTTCCGATCTTTTCGACTTCTCCACGGAATACGTCACGCCGCGCTTCCACAGCATCTTGAACGTGAGCAAGCAGCAGCAGCAGCAGCAGCAGCAGCAGCAGCAGCTGCTGCTGCTGCTGCGGGATCTGGGAAGTGAATGAATGGGGGTTTTTGGAAGTGAAAAGGAATTCTTTTTGGAAATGAAAATGGAATTCGAATTTCGAAAAGAATTCTCTTTTCCACTTCTTTCGATTCGGCTGTCTCACTTCTGCTGCGTGGAAACCTGAAAGTTGAATTTCTGAATTCGGGGTTTGCTGCAGCTGGGCTGCGCTGCATTTCTTTGCTTCTTTTTGCAATTTGAATAATTTAAAACTTTAATTTCTTTTTAATTTCTTTTTGATTTCTTTTTAATTCCTTTTTAATTTTCAATTTCTTTTTCTTCAGGTGAATCCGTTGCTGCGCACCTTCAGTTCCTCGGGAACCTTCAGCTACGACCGTTTCCGTTTCGGCGGTGAGCAGCGGGAAACTTGTCTTTTTCTTCCGTTTTTTTGCCTAGGGTTTAGGGTTTAGGGTTTAGGGTTTAGGGTTTAGGGTTTGGGTCTTTTTAAACCCTTTTCAGGCGAAGTTTCCGGCAAACTCGACGCCTCCGGGATGAAGTACGCGTTGGCCGCGTCTTACTCGGCGCCGACGCCCGGGATGAAGGGGGGCAGCTGGATGGCAGCTGTGAAGACGTAAGCCGCAATTGTTGAATTTAAAATTAAAAATAAAATTAAAAATAAAATTAAAAATAAAATTAAATATTATTTTAAAATTAAAAATGACATTTAATTCACCCCAGTCCAACTCAAAAGTCCAAAGCCGCGCGCCCCGCGCCTGAACGCCGCACCCTCCGCCGCCGCTGCTGCCGCTGCTGCTGCTGCTGCTGCTGCTGCTGCTGCTGCTGCTGCTGCAGCGCGCCTGCGGGGAGTCTGATGTTTGGGAAGGTGATAGGGAGTTTGAACGGGAGGTCTTTGGAGGGCCGTGGGGCGGAGTTGGCAGCAGAAGTGGAGTACAACATTGCGGAGAATAAAAGTAATATAACTTTCGGGGGTTTGTGGCACTTGAGTGAAGAAAAAGAAACAACTTTGAAGTCCAAAATCTCCCAAAATGGACTTCTTGCTGTTGCAGTTTCCCACAGACTCTGCAGCAACTTGCAGGCCACTGTAGGCACTCAGCTGGATGTCACTAAGGCCCAAAACGCAGACAACTGCAAATACGGAATCAAGATCGACGTCCTTTCTTGACTGCAGCAGCAGCGGTGGCGGCAGCGGGCGCGGGACTAGCTCCCGCCTTCTGCGTGCGCTGCACGCCGCTCGCCCCGCCGGCCCCGCGCTGTTGCTGCTGCTGCAGCAGCAGCAGCAGCAGCAGCAGCAGCAGCAGCAAGTGCTGCTGCGGCGGCGGCTGCAGCAGCAACTGCTTTTGTCGCAGCAACTGCGGCTGCTGCAGCTGCATGCGTTTTGGGGCTTTTTGGGGGCGCCCGGGCTGTCTTCTGCGAAAGGCGCAACTCCGCAACAATCGAACTTTACCGTGTCTGCTGCTGCAGCAGAGAACTTCCCAGTTGCTGCTGCAGCAACAGCAAAAAGTGCAGTTTGCTTCTCTCGAAAACGCAGCTAAAGAGCCCCAGAAAGCGCACTTTGCTTCGCGAGCAGTTTCTGCTGCTGAGCGGCTTTCTGCTGCTGCCGCTTTGAGGTGTACGTACACCTCGGGCCGGCGCGCTGAGGTGTACGTACACCGCAAACCGGCGCCGCGGGAAGCCGTTCGAAGCCGCTTCAGCTCAGTTTTCGGTCTTTTAGTGCCATTTAATTTCTTCTTTTTCAAAAAAGACGAATTAAAAGCACTTGGGAGCTGCAGGAGAAGCAGCAGAGGCTAAAAATTCTCTTCTTCCGCTCCTGACTGCTGCGCTGCAGCGCAGCAGCAGCGTGCTGCCCGGTGGGAGCTCGCGTTGTTTCTTCGGGATTAATTCCGGAAAATGAGATTTGATGGTCCTGAAAGTGTAAAATAATAAAAAGTAAAAGTAGAAAAATTAATTTGAAATTAAATGCCACAAATTTCACAGCAAAAATGAATTTTTTTGAACTTCTTGCTGCTGCGGTGAAGAGCCGGAATCGGAGTGTCTGTGGTTCTGTTTGCACGCAGCGGCCGTTCTTGAACGAATATTGCTTGTTTTCAATTCCCACTTTATTTTAATTTAATTTTAATTTAATATTTCGAATTACTTTAATTTATTTTCGGTTTAATTCCCGCAATTCCGCGCAGAAGGGTCTTCTTTCCAGGGAGTGGTCGGGCGCAGCCTCACCAGTGGTGCGCCTGCGTTGGGGCTCCGATCGCGTTCGAAACTTCTTTCTTTTTGGCTTTTTATTTCCCAATTAAATAAAATAAACAATTTATTTAATTAAATAAAAGTGAAACTGTTTTCCAAAGACGCAGTTTCGGGAAATGCAGAAGTGACCTCCCAGGTGTACCGACAGCTGCCGCAGCCGCCAAACTGCAGCAACGCCGGGAGCTGCCAATGAGCAGCAGCAGCAGCAGCAGCAGCAGCAGCAGCAGCAGCAGCAGCAGCAGCGCTTATCTTGCATGTTATTTGATGGAAAAGGGAAATAAAAAAGTAATTAAATTAATTTAATTGTTATTTCTTTCGTTGGTCATTTGCTGAACACTTCATCAAATGCAAACTCGCCGCTCCGGCGTCAGGCCCACAAAATTAAAACAAAGAAAATATTCAAGCAGCAGTTCTTGCTGCTGAAGTTCTCTTTGCTTTTCTTCTGAAATGCAAAGAAAGGCCAAAAGGGAAAGATCAGATAGCTGCAGCAGCAGCAGCAGCGGCAGCAGCAGCAGCAGCAGCAGCAGCAGCAGCAGCAGCAAAACCGAGTTTCCTGCCTGTCCAGGCTCTGCAGATGTAGTTGCAGCAGCAGAAAATGCAACATCAGCCGCCGCAGCAGCGGCAGCAGCAGCAGCAGCAGCAGCAGCAGCAGATGCTGCAGCAGACACCAAGTGCAAGCCAGCTGAACCCCAAGGCCCTGAAGAGCAGCAACAAGTGAAAAGGCTACGCAAGGAACAGCCAGCAGCAGCAGCAGCAGCAGCAGCAACAGCAGTAACTGCTGCAGCAAATGAGGGCGCAGCAAATGGGGTGGACGGCAGCTGTGGGAGAGAAAAGAGCAGCAGCAGCAGCAGCACAGACAGCAGCAGCAGCAGCAGCAGCAGCAGCAGCAACGGCAGCAACATGATAGGCTGTAGTGGAGTCGATGACTCTCAGGCTATAGACGGTACGTGCTGCTGCTTCGATCAGCTAGACAGCAGCAGCAGCGGCAGCAGCAGCAGCAACAGCAGCAGCAGCTGCTGCTGCTGCTGCAACGATAGCGGCAACGACAGAGCCATCAGCAGCAGCAACGCAATTTTCAGCTTCAAGACTAAGGCCTCTAGCCGCAGGAGCCGCTACCGCTGCAGCAGGAGGAGCAGCAGGAGCAGCAGCAGCAGCAGCAGCAGCAACAGCAGCAGCAGCAGCGACAGCAGCGACAGCAATGGCGGAAGCGACAGCAGCAGCGCTTTCGGGGATAAGCAAGAATTTCCTTCGCAGCTGCAGCGCCCTTCTGCTGCTGCAGCAGCAGCAGCAGCAGCAGCAGCCCCAGCAGCAGCAGGATCAGGAGCTGCAGCAGCAGCAGCAGCAGCAGCAGGAGCAGCAGCAGCAGCAGCAGGAGCAGGAGCAGGTGCAGCAGCAGTGCGAGCAATGTGCCAAGCCATGGATCTGCTGCTGCTGCTGCTGGGGGGCCGCGAGAGTCTTGCTGCTGCTGCTGGGGTGTGCAGAGAGCTGCGTGCTGCTGTGCTGCGCTGCAGCAGCTGGTTTGCTGTTTGTGCGCAGCAGGGACTTGTGGCAGCAGCAGCAGCAAAAACTCTGGAGCTTTCGGAAAGAAGAAGCAAAGGAAAAGTTTTTGCGGGTTTGCTTCCTGCTGCGCTGCAGCAGCAGCAGCAGCTGCGCATGCAGCGAGCCCTCGAGCGCGCCGCGCAGCAGCTGCACCCAACCTGCAGCAGCAGCAGCAGCAGCAGCAGCAGCAGCAGCAGCAGCAGCAGCAGCAGCGGGGAGCTGCTGCTGCCAGTAGCCATTAGATCTGTTAACTTGAAAGTCTGCAACGCTGATGTCAATGATGGAGTTCCTGCTTCGCTGCTGCGCGAGTTGGCGCTGCTGCAGCTGCTGCAGCGCGAGCACGCCTTTGCTGCTGCTGCTGCTGCTGCTGCTGCTGCAGCGCGCAGCAGCAGCCAGCAGCAGCAGCAGCAGCAGCAGCAGCAGCAGCAAGAGTTTCCCATTGTCAGATATGTCGGAGCTGAACTCAAAAACTCAGTGCTGCATATTTGCACGGAGTTCCACAAAAGAAACCTCAGGGCCTACTGGAGGGCGAGCAAACCCTAAACCCTAAACCCTAAACCCTAAACCCTAAACCCTAAACCCTAAACCCTAAACCCTAGACCTTCTAAGCCTTTGCTAGTCCTTGAAAACCAAATAAACCCTTAAAGATCAAAACAGACTTTCATAAGTCTTTCAAACCCTCGTTAAACCCTTTAAACCCTTTTGAGCCATTCAAAACCCTCATAAACCCTCAAACCCTCATAAACCCTCATAAACCCTCAAACCCTCATAAACCCTCATAAACCCTCATAAACCCTCCTAAACCCTCCTAAACCCTCCTAAACCCTCCTAAACCCTCAAACCCTCATAAACCCTCATAAACCCTCATAAACCCTCATAAACCCTCAAACCCTCATAAACCCTCCTAAACCCTCCTAAACCCTCATAAACCCTCATAAACCCTCATAAACCCTCATAAACCCTCCCAAACCCTTCTAAACCCTTTTAAACTCTCAATCACCTTCATACACTCTCCCAAACCCCAATAAACCCTCGTAAACACTCTTATGCTTTTCTAAACCCTCGTAAACCCTCACAAACCCTCATAAACCCTCATAAACCCTCACGAAGCTTCTCAAACCCTCCTAAACCCTTTACAGCTCTCCTAAACCCTCATAAACCCTGTAAACCCTTCCAGTAAAGCTTTTAAAGCGACCTGAAGTAGGATTTGCTGCTGCTGCTGCTGCTGCTGCTGCTGCTGGCTGCTGCTGCTGCTGCTGCTGCTGCTGCTACTGCTGCTGCTGCTGCTGCTGCTGCAGGAGCTGGAGCTGCTGGGGTTTTTGGCTCCGGAGTTTGCGAGGTTTAAAAGGTGGCTGGCGCTGAGGGTTTTCGAGGGTTTGCTGCAGTCGCTTTGCTTCCTGCATGCTGCTGCTGCAGTGCACAGAAACGTCAAACCCGACAACATTTTGCTGCTGCTGCAGCAGCAGCAGCAGCACCCCACAG